AACTTCACCTAATGATTCTTTCCTATTTTTAGTTTGAAACATTTAAAATTTTTAGCACCACAAGTGTGTAACACTCAGATATTCAAGGTCTAAACAACTTATTTTGGATTACAAAGTAATTAAGCCAGTTCTGCGGAAAAATCAATTTTTTTTTTCATTTTTCCTTTGAATATATTTTTTCAAATGGCAGAGCTTCCTACAAAGTATAAAGTCACGTCCTTGTCTTCCCCTCATCTTCTCAGTCATTTCTTGCTTTCTGTTCAAGCTAATGCTCATTGACCACGATGACAGCCTATCATAACTCCTGGACAAGTTTCCCATACATGCAGTCATGTACATGCACGCACTCTTGCTTAATAATGACAGACAATTGCTTCTTAACCAATGACCTTACATCTGAAGGTTGCTCTCCATCAGCATCCTGTAATCCACAGATAAAACTAGAAGGCAAAGCTGATGGGACTAGTACAAAATTCACATTTTTTGCTTCTGTCATTTTTTGATGCCTGTCTAGTCACCCATAATCTGCTACTCAAAGATAGAGAAATGAAAGGACCCAGTGCACTGAAGCGCATTATTTCACGTAGGTTTCAGGTATTCAGTTCGTAGGGCAATACCAAAACACCTCAGCTAGTTACCTAAGCTCCCTGCCCTAGGTATGGAAGGGACTTGGATGCTGCAAGCTGGGATCTACAACATCCAGCAACCTCTGACTTGCTAAATTGCTGAAAGAGGCACGTGCCTAATATCCTACCCCTACTATGGACTGGGAAGCTACTTTTGAACAGGTGGGAAGCTGCTTTAGATAAGGATTCACGTTTCACAACTGAAGCTTAATGATTCTTGCTCACGTCCAACCATGCCACTTCCTTACCGCAGCATGGTCTACAGCCTCGTTGTCTGGCCGCTCCTCTGGAACGAGGGGAATGTTGACACCAAACCCCTGACGGTGTAGGAGGACACGGCACCCAAATCTTCCATCTCCTGGGAGAGTATGCTAAACACGAGGAGATTAAATAAGGAACAAACATCATTACCGCCTCCCTGGCTGGCTGTATTTTTAAATGTAAGCACCCAAGGCTGCTGTGTGTCATGTTGATTCGTTCCCGTCAGCGTGCTCAAAGCATAGCTATCAAGTGGTCTCAGGGAAGACGAACTGGGGAATACCACCGCTACCCTTTTGGGGAACATTTCTAGGCACTCTGCCCTGGCGGGGTGGAAGCACACATACAGAAACACAGCTTCCCCAGCACTTCGGAAACTTTACTGATGAAAATTTGTTTGTCTAAAAATTTAGGTGGGACTTTGCTTTTTTTTTTTTTTTTTTTTAGATCTGTATTTTCAGTCAACCCAGCTGTACACAGGTAACTTTCTATAGAACATGGTGGTTATTAGCACAAGGTTTGTTGTATTCAGCCCTTAGAAACCCTTAGAAACATGAGGAAAAGATCAGACAGTCCCTCACAAATGACCGTGGGCTCCATGGCAGGACTTGATTACACCTTTTTTTTTTCCAAGAAAAAAAAAAAAAGAGGACAAAACAGATGTTTAGGATTTTAATAGGATCTTGTAGGATTTTTATAGCATAAAGTTTTCATGCCCTCAGCCCAGAGGTTTTCTAAAATTAATACTTCTCAGTCTGGATCACACAAAACTACTAAGTAGTAGATGTAGTAATTTCTTCAAAATTAACTGCGTGCTTGCTTATTTTATATTGTCGGAGAGGTTTTCTCTCTCTTATATCCAGTTATGGGACCGCATGTCCTTCATTTTCTTGAATAAGTGTCAGTTTGTTTTGTATCTTATTATTTACCGTAAAAAATTATGTGTAAAAATTCAAGTAGATGTGAAACATTACTGACATATGTGCATGATGCCATACGTGCCATCTTTTATTTTTTACCTGTCTGTAGAAAATAATTCTTTCTAAAATATTTTTTGGCAGAAAATAATATATTCTCCATGTCATTTCAATGACCCATGGCATTTGACCACATTTACTGACTGCAACAATCGCAGTTTTGTAAGTCAGAAGGCATCTGAGAAAACAAAAAAGTATTTGTTTTCTTTTCTTGTCATGGTTTTAACCAACAAGCCTGCTTCACTTGAATTTTACAGAAGAATGCTGACAGTTGCAGACTATTTCACATCTCTGCCATATTTTGACTTGTTTTATCTGAGCCCAGTGTTCATTTGGGTGATTAAAAAGTTAACATTTTAATAATTAATATTGGGGAGGTTACCTACCAGAAAGAAAGAAAAAGAGTTTTTAATCAATATAAAATGTCACTTTAAAAACCTCCCTATTGCTATTAACCCATTCAGAAAAGCACTGCGGGCAGTGTGCGGCTGTTATCAGTGGGCGCTCTAGACACAGTTGTAGGACAACCTCCAAATAAATATGCGACTATACTCTCTGTGTATTCACACGAAGGACAATATTGGGCTCCAAGAGTACAGCTGGCACCGCAAAATCTGTCACTTTATATATTCTAATGAGATTTCCAGTCCCACTTGTGCTGAGACAACCAACTGAAAGCAAGTAATCTAATACGTGCAACGTTTAAAGCTGATCTTGTCAACAGGCTTCACTATGACTCTTCCTCATCACGTTTGGTGTATAAAAATGAAAGCCACCTAACAGTAAAGTCAGCTTAGTGACCTTCACTACTATGGTATCAGGCACAGCAGACGCAAAGCCTTTAAATGTTAAAACATGGACAGCTGGGGTGAAACATAAGACTTAAAGGGTGGCACATTAGATAAACAGGAGGCTGATGAGATGAGCTGGGGTCATAAATTGCGTTAGTCACACTGTTTGACAAATGATCTCCAGCGGCACTTGCTTCTCGGTGGGGACTTTCATTGATGATCTTTAGTATTGCATTGGTAAAACTTTATTGAACTTTTTACCCAATTGTACACGTTACCAAGGGAAACCATTCTCGGAGCAAGCTTTGCCGGCATGAAACTCAACATCTGTGCAGAAAGGGGGGAGTGCTGCACTAGCTAGGACTCCCGGCTGCACAGTTAAAGCAGCGGTTAATTTGGGGGAGGGGAGGGAGAGTCCATGACTTAAAATGGAGACAGGACTGAGAGGGTGACGTTAGACAGTGCTTTTGGGGAACTTGGGTGCAGCGGTCCCATCAGAAACATCATGTACCAATTGACAACAAGAGCCGCCCTGAACAGCAGTTCATGTACGTTTTACTGAGGCACGTTACACACGCGTGTACTTTGCAATTTAAAACAAGCTCAACATAATATTCCAGAGAATCAATGAAGCAAGAAAAACTCCAAAGGCAAAAACCTAAGGGAAGTATTTATTATAAAAACGGACAAAATGAAGACAGTAAAATAAGTCATCACATGAACAGGATGGGGACTGATTATCTAAGCATGAAGGCAGAGACAGGTAAGAAGGTTTTTTAACAGTAGCTGGTCAGCATTACAGGTAGGTGAAGTCTCATGCATTTAGTTTAGTGGTCCATCTAGAAAACAGGGGCAGAGCTATTAATTCTGAGGGCTCTCTCTCTTTTTGTTACCAAGGCTGGGAGATGGTACTGCTAAACAGTACTAAGGGATGGCAAAATGTTAACTGTAGAAGGACATACTCAATAGCAAGGAGGGACTGTGGGGAAAAAAAACCACAGTATGAGGGCAACCAGCCCTCTGCACCAGGCTGGGTGACTGGCGTGGAAGTTCTGCAGCATGCAGCCTGGGAGGTGGCCACGTCATGGTGCCTCCACCGCTCTCTGAGCCTTTGCAAACACACACCTTCATGGCATGTCAAAGACAAGTCACAATGCGGTACTGGAAATATGAGTTCCATGCGCATGGTGACAGAGCAAGACAAACAGGGCAAAAGACACAGAATTCCCCATCCCACCAAATGTACATCTGTAATAAGGTAAGAAGTTCAGGTAAACACATCTTATACGGTGTGGGGTTTTTTGTTGTTGTTTGTCTGTTTGTTTGCTTTCTTTCATATATATGATAAAAGAGAATTCAAACTGTTTTCTATTCTAGGGGACTCTGGCCTCCACAGAGAAGACACATGGATCAACGTAATACACAAATTAAACATCTTTGTGTAAGGTTCTGTGATTCAAAGGGCGTATCTATTAATTCACGCAATGACAAAGAGTAGTAGTAGTTTCCCTAGTAGTTTTCCCCTAGTAGTTTCACTAGGGGAAAGAAAACTTTGACTCTAGGGTTCATACTTAAAGACCAGGTTGTATGGACTGTAGAGTCAAATTTGGCACAAGTGGTCATGGATTTGAGGACTCATCTGGAAAGGTCCTAGATGAAGGCATCTATTTTCTCAGAATCAATCTGATCCATTCAAATTTTCTTCTTAAAGCCTGCTACGCTTTTTAGAGTGACCTAAACTTAGATTCATGAATAATATGACTCTATCGCCAGGCACATGCCTAAGACTTTCACAGATGACCAGGAGAATTACTAAAGGCCAACTGAGACTCTTACCTTTTGAATTCACTACTCCTCTTTCTCTGTAGTGGAGCTTGGACCCACAGCTCGTCACTCAGCCTGCTCCACTGCACAGCAGAGCCTTCAGGGTAGTAGTCCGCCTCTGACAAGAATTAGTACTCATTTCCTTCCCAGCTGCTTACAATTGCAAATCTTTCAAAACTTAAGTGTCTTCCCTCTTCTAGCCCTGCCAGACAGACACCCTTATGACAAAGCAGGAAAAGACAAACCAAGGAAGTAGATGGTATCAACCCATCTATTATTACTGCTTAGGAAGTTGCAACATCTTCTAGTTCTGACACAGCTATTGCTGCAGCAGCGTCAACACATCAGATACCCCTTTCATGGACTTCCTGGAAACTTTCAATATGCAGGCAGTTAGAAGCCGGCTCATTGCACCAACTAGGTAAGGGAGCTTCGAGTTTGCAACCTATAAACTCGTATCCTCCTCCCCTTCTACAAGGCAGTTGCACTCTCAAACACAGTGCTGTAACTTCAGTTGAGCTCCCCGGAGAGGCCGCATGAAGAAGATGCATCATGGCACAGGAGCAGACAGCAGATACTAACTGCGGTGGCTGGAAGTGCCCCATGTCCTCTGGGTCTGCAGGGAAGCGCTGCAGCCCAATGCCACAAGACCAGTTCTACAAATCAGGAAACATAGAAAAGAGGGTAACTGGGAGAAAACCGTTAAGTATCGGAAATGTTGCTAGTACAAAACTTACTGCTCAGGTCTGAGTTTGAAGTGAGAAATTAACAAACTCTAGCTATAAACCAGCCCTGGTAACAACTGAGCCATCTAACTTTGGATTTCTTACCTTGCCATGAGGAAAGCTGCAGCAGAACTGCTGTCATGTTGCCACATACGGCGCTCATACTGGCAGTAATTCTGCCTTCTCCTATAATGCCACTTTACTGTTTCGACACTGAATAGTAGAAAGAATACAGTTACTAGTAAAAAATGAGAGAACCACTCCCAACATTAAAGAATTCATTTTACTAGGATAGATTAACTTGTAATTGAAGAATCAAGCTATTCCAGGATGGTGGCAATAGTTGGTTTGAAAAGACTTCTTTCTGAATGTGTGCATACATTACGTTGCCATTTAGGTGGCGCCACTCCTTGCATAAAATTTACTTTGCATAATTACAGGCAGTTCGGCAAAATATTTATTTGGAATCTTCAGTGCTTGCATACCACATATTTTTTCTTTCAGTTGAGAACATGCCTCAGATGCAAAGTCTAGCAATTTTCTTTAAAGCGCTGATGAAAGCTGGTTTGTGCTAAGACAGCAAACTTTGCGCTGAGACACGTGCTGGTGCTCTACCCTGCCAGGCCAGCTGCGGCAGGGACAGGACAGACAGCTGGAGGGGTTCTGCCTTGAACAACCTCAGCTCAATTTGCCAGGCTGCCTCTGTCCTCGTCCCTGGACTGAGAGTGGGTAAACTGCTTTGTTCAAGGACTAAAACAAGTGTTATGCATAACAGGGTACCTGCGTGATGGATGAAGTAAACCTGTGACTTCTCCCGTTTCCAAGCAGAAGACTTCAGTGGGAAAATTCTGGTTCATTGAGTTCAGAGCATTTACTTCACAACACCTTCAGGTTTGGTGGCCTTCTGCTGAATCCAAGGTAGAGGTAAAACCTTTCCACGGTCACTGCAGACAGCCGAGAGCAAAAGAAGGCCTCTGGGTTTTGTGGTTCTGCATCAGAGCCACCAGCTGAGATCATTAAAGATGCTGGGCACGTTTACACAGCGCAGAGAGGCCCGGGAACTGCAGGCAGCATCGCGGCCTCAGGACAGCATGGTGCCGATACGCGCGCTGGCTGGTGTGCGTGCCAAGAGAGGGCCGTACCACCCTACGCTAGCTAGACTGATGGTAACTCTCTGCAAACTGCTCATGGCACAAAACGTAGGTACTACAGCCTCACGGGCTTCAAGGGAAGCCATGGTAAGTTTGCTAGCTCATATGGGATATTAGGAAGGAAGATAAGCACAAAGAGAACACATCAAATGTGGTATACATAGGGGGATTAATAGGGCGAGAGAAAAAACAGAGACAGAAAATTATGATCTAACACACTGCACGTCATTTTTAGGATTCAGCAAGACTTTCATGTTCAGATTCAAATTTCATAGGCACTTCTCTCTCCCTTTCCATTAGATGCCAAAAATCTTTACCATTTTCTCCATGTTTTCTTCCCCATTTCCTTTTTCCCTGTGCATTGTTTCTTCCCATTTTCTGAGTATTTCTAAAACTCAATTTCACAAAAGCTCATTTTTCACATGTACTAGGTTGTAAAATATAGGAGCCAATTGTTGGTCACTCTCACAGATGTAAAGATAGATCTAAAATTGAAGTAAAAATGTTGAACGGCAGAGTTTTTTCATGTACATACAAATCTCATTATAAAACTATAAAGAATTGTCCTGCTGTCCTTCCTAGTTACATAGTTTAATTAAAATTGGATATATTTAGTTTTCAGAGTGCCTCTCCAACACCCAAAAGCCAAGGTAAAATAGGAATATTCAGTTGCTATATAATGGGAAGATATTTATAAAAAACAAAGCTACATTCAGCAAAGCATTGTTCATTTAGACTGATGAGTTGAGAGATGTAATTAAATCTAATTTTAATGTGAACTTGTACATGTATGATTAAGAACCCATACAAATAGCCAAATTAGATTTTTAACTTGACTATGCCAAGTTTGCATCCCAATTGTCTTGGTAGACGTCACAGGCCTGGTTTTACTAGTCTGTTAGCTGTCCTTGGCTCACAACAGCTTTGCATGGTGTAGAAGGGAGGTGGTATCTGCATTCTTTTGTATGACTAAGTTACTCTGTCATGAACCTAGTGTATACAAATAAAGATGAAGGACAAGATTCTTCATTCCACTCACCAGGAGGAGTAACTCATTTCAACAGAGAAATATTTCAGACATAGCTTGAAGGGCATTTTGAACTAGCACAGCCACGTTCATTTGGTGACAAACACTCCTCTAAGGTCTACACACTCCTACATGGTCTCCTAGTAGGAGAGTTCTAGCTAATTAATTTGGCAGACTGGATTTCTTCTTCAATTTACAAAGGGATGGGAAATGCACGGATGTCACACAAAAAATTTGCTTCTACAGGAAATAGATCAAAATCCCTGGAGAAAAAAAAGAAATCTGGCTACTAGATGGTTGTTATACTCGGTGGTTGTTATATTCAAAGCACGATGCAATGCTCATTGCACAGCAACTAGTTGCACAGTGCAACTAGTCCTTCTTTACTTCATGTTTCAATTTCCCACATAGAAAGAAGACCTAATGACTGGGCTCTGCTTCCTTGACACTTTGTCACCACCAACACTTTTTCCACTTACGAAGATGTTCTCTAAAATAAAACAAGTTCCCATCTTTCTTCCACTGTCACTGTCCAGCTCCCAGTGAGACCTATGGCATGGCGCTCTGTGGTGACATGAGAGATGTGGTAACAGCTCATCCGACATGTTCTTTTTGTTTCAACGGCAATACCCAATTTAAAATATACAGAGGCCAGCTTGAACTCACAAGTTGTCAGCAGCCAGCAAATGAACAGCAACCTACACTTCAGGTAATTGAGAGTCTTAGGCTTTGCAAAAGCATAATTAGTCTGAGACCATTAATATCTACACCTTGGGAAAATATTTTCAGCCAGCTTTCACAGAAGGGCACGACAAGCTAGTCGTGAGGCACCTTTCTGAGGAACATGTGGAACAGGGTTTCACATGGAACAGGAACCACATTAGGTTCAAGCAATCCCCACTAC